GCCTCTCAATAAGTGCTTGGTTTTTTTTTTCAGCTAGGCAATGTCAGATCTTACTCTTTGGGCTGACCCAAAGTCAGTGTCTCTCTAAGGCCAATCCTATCACCTCCTAAGTATAATTTTATTCTTTGTCCAGTAACATTAAACATTTGGGCAGTCTTTTTATTTTCAATCTCAATGGCTCTAATTGGTTATACCTTAACCATAATGAACGGTCTAGACCACACGATTTTCAATATTTATGGAAATAATTTCAATTGGGAATTATAAAGTAACACTTCTTGTCCAGGCTCAAAATATTACTTAATCATGTCATTTTCTCATTTTTTTTCCCTTAAAGATTTCGACACTCTCAATGGTTTTCTCTCAAATTTACTCTAATCTGTTTAAATGACATCTATAAGCACTCTCACAAGTGGTGAGTCTACACATTGCAACTCACTTTCAGTTGAGTTTAGGTCAGTTTCCTGAAGATGATTAAGAGAGAAAATACGTGATTGGTTTCTTATGCTAGTATAGTGAGCAGTCTGACGAATGTCATGATTCTTTCTAGATCAAACACTGCACAGTTAATTGGTATTATTAGAATGTCATGCATAATCTAGAAATGAGTCATTGGTAGGAAGTGAAGAATTCTAAGGTATCTGAAAGGTATTGTTGATGTCGGCATAGTTTTTCAAAGATAGACATTTATTACTGATTTATGTGTAGGCTATACTAATTTAGACTATGCAGGTGATATAGATTAACATAGCTCTATGATTGGTTATTTATTCATATTGGTAGAAGTTCTACTTAGTTGGAGATTGATTCTTAAATCTACCATTGCATTGTTTACTATGGAAGCTGAGTATTTGACAGTTACAGAGGCAATGAAGGAAGCAATATGGAAGCAGAATCTACTGAATAACTTAAGAGTTGATTAAGAGTCTCTGACGATTTTCTGTGATAATTAGAGTGCGGTATTCTTAGTCATAAATCTAATTCATCATAGTCATACTAAACACATTGATGCGAAGCACTACTTTATTCTTGATTGATGATGACAATATTCTATTAAAGATGACAGATTCAAAGAATAAATCCAACAACATTGCTCACAAATGCACCACCTATCCAAAAGTTCACCTATTGTAAAAGTTTGGTCAATATCCGAGCTCATGATTGACGAGCATTTTGAAGGTCTACGTAAGGCTTGATCCTTTCAGGAGAGGGAGTACGTAGGCTACCTTCTTAGTGCAATCATTGTCGTATTAGAGCTCATTTTGATTATCTCCCACTTATATGGAAGTGACAGATGACATGAAGATTGTTTTGAAAAGTATTAAAATATAATTGTTGTAAATTAAAAAGTGTGTTTATTAAGAATATTGATATTTGGTAACTTAATTAGGGGAGATTTAATTATATGTTTTTTCTATATTATGAAACATAATTTAAGGAGAAATAAATATATGATATTTCTTATATTTAAAATATTCCTAATTAGTATAACCTAACCCTCTCTTATTTATGTGAGAGATTATGGACTATTTGGGTGTGTTGATTTGTAACCGTAATTCAACCATTTTTTTCTTCTTGGAACTTGATGATAGTGGAATAATCTCTTCCCGTGGGCGTAGGTGAATTTTTCCCGAACAACATAAGGCGCACCGTGTTAATTTGTTTGTTTGTTCTGTGAATTTATTTTCCGCCTACTTTTTCACCCAAAACTATCGTTTCATCGCAATGAGTTCTAGCTAGAGAGGCAACTACAAGATCATGGCATCCAAAGACTTTTGTAACTCTCATCTTTCTCCTTCGCACGCTATGCTCCTCCCGAAACCATTGTGGAAGGTAACTCCATCTTTCTCCGCCTTCCTTTTTTGTGTGCTTCCCTTAAATCCTTCTTCCAACGTGATTTACTATATCAAGGCAAAATGGAGGAAAAACAGATTTAAGAACATGCAGGAGTTACATGTCATTTTTTATGTTTGGCGGGATTTAGGTTAAATCCGGCGTGCCACTTGTTTTGCTTGTGACATGTTCCAAGTACTTGCCGCTTCACCAAACTTCATGGGAATTGAGTAATATATGTATGTAAATCACAAAAAAAGAGAAAGAGAAAAAAAAAAAAAAGGTAGAAGGGTAAAATCAAGTCAATTTATTGGTACCTAACACCATATGACAAAATAGAAGTTATTTCATCCAGCTGCAAGGCCAAACCTTTGACCCATGAGAAAAGCATTTAAATTGTAACCTTGATTCCAACTATTTCCCAGCCCCATGGTCTTCTCGTCTAATGTTCCGAGCATATAGTGCATCAGTTTGAATTTAACTTTGCATAATACATCAAGGCACCAAGATCACTTTTCTTTATTATTTTATTAAGTATAAAAGGTTAAGTAATAGATATATAAATATAAAATTTTCTTATGATATCTACATAAATAGCCGGAAGAATATATATACCTTATATATATATATATATATTTCAATTAAAATATAAAAAATCAAGTCCAAATGGTTCAAAATTTTGAATTTATTATGACCTATAAAATACATTCAATACTGAGTTGACATCTCAACATAATAAATTTGGGCTTGGCTTATGCAATGAGTTCATTATCAATTTCGCTCAAATGGTCGAATTGCAGCAAAACACATTCTACTAATTATTAGTATCCAAAATTATGCTCGAAATGACATGAGAATTTATAGACCTATAACTTCAATGTCCAATAAAATCCATAATATTTTCTTTAGCCTAGCTAAGCCTTGATTACTGACTCTTGGAATTATAGATATGAGTTCCTATGAAAATATGAAGAATCCATTGATATAGTCGTTAGATAGAAATTTATGTCATCTATGAATGATTTATATTTATGATGAATAATAAAGTTATGTTCAAATTATAAATTTTGTGTTCTTATTATTCAAAACTAAATCATTATAGTTTTAGAGGATTATTTTTTCCAACTTCAGAGAAAAGGAATGAATTTTGAATATAACGTCGTAAATAAGACTATTAATTACTTAGGATTGAGATAATTTAATTTATAATTATCTTATTGATATAATTTTAATATTCAATATTAAAATAAAAATTCTTTGATATCCACTTTAATTATTTTTCAATTTTATATATTTATATCATTTGGAACTCTCCCTTTTAGAATGAATGGAGATGAATCGTACTAGTAATATTACTACATCAGGCTGTTAACTTTACTTTATTAATGCCACAATTTGTTAGATTATTATTCCTCAACTTATTCTACTTCTGTGATATATATATATAGACATAGTCATGCACCCATATGATGTGACATCAATTAATTTTATCATTCGTTTTGAATCTAGATTATCCAAACCAATGATTTAAACATATTTATAGTCAACAAGAAGAACCCGTTGATAGCAAAATTGGTCCAATTTGAGTTATAAAAAGTTCAGATCAAGCCATTAAATTTTATTTTGAGGCTTTAAATCAACAGTTGAATGGTCTAATGAATTGTAAGTTTGACATACTTTTAGTCAAATCAAACATCTCGATGAGAGAAATCCAATAAGCTTATGCATACTTAATTATAAAGTCTTTTAGTCAAATCAAGCATCTCGATGAGAGAAATCCAATAAGCTTATGCATACTTAATTATGAAGTATTTAAAGCCCTCAGATCATTAAAAAAATCTCTATGTCCATGAGAGATTAGTATGACCCGATTGATCGGGTGATTATGGGAGTTATTCATTGAATGAACAAAATGCATCTCCTCACCACTATCGACAATCATCTGGCAGTCGTTGTCGACCATATATGTAAGGAAATATTCCTAGTATGATGATGGGGTTATGTCACAGTATTCTAGATGTGATGTAAGGAAGTATTCCAAGTATGAGATAACAAATTTTCTTGAATACTGTGTAATGACGTATCCCAAACATGGTGTATTAAAAACCCGATAATAACCATCAGTGGCAACAACTTGTGATCGTTGTGTTCAAAATATAATAAATTTTTTCTCAGACCAGACATTTTTTGTACATTGTGTACGAACAAGTGTTGTACTTGGTGTTACAGTGTAACTCTTCTTTTCTAGTTGTGGGACAAAAGTCTATCTTTGTATTTACAAACTTATAGTTGATTACTTTGAGAGGGCTAGGCCCGTGACTTTTTCTCTTTTTAGGTTTTTCCACGTAAAAAGACTTGGCGTGTCTATATTATCGGTGCGTGTGTTGGATCTTCGTACAACTCTGAGACATTAATTATAACTCTACCGTTACGAATCTTCTAGCATACAATAATATGTATACGATCATATCAATAATTATAGAAATTTCAATAAAATTTATTAAGCATCACATTCATGTATATAAACATCAACTAAAGTCACCATTTTATATAATTAATTTAATAATAAATATCCAAAGTAAATTATTTCCTAGGCAAGTTCACCAAAACCAAAATTTTCCCTCTTTCTTTTTTTGAAGAAAAGGTCTATGATATAATCTTCTTCACCAACTTTCCCAATCAAGAGTAGGTTCATCATTAAGGGAGGACTATGCTTTTTGCATTATGAAGCTTCACATAATAATCTCATAAGCAATCATGACTTTCTCTTATTATACTAAGAGCTCATCATCGGTAACCTACACTTTCTCCTATAAATTTTCTTTTTGGTAGAGTGAAAAAACACATGTAAATAAATCAAAGATTTAGGATTTCATAAAATATCCAAAGTAGAATTAGTGCATCATGCATTTCTTCACTTATAGTATCCATCATTTCATCTATCATTTGAACTTTATCCACTATTTTGTTTATATTCAATTTACTTTCATGTGTCTAGCCTTGCCAAATTGCAAGCGCACACAATTGTGAACTTTTGGATTGGCTTTTCTTTTAAGAGTTATTCTAGAATTCATTGCCACAACAAGGTGAAGTGCTTGTTTGAGATCTTTTTGCTTTCTAATTTCTGTTTTTATTTTTTACTTTCACTTTAAAATATGTTTATTCAGTCAAAAGTGATCCCGAATGGCCGTGGAATTTGTTTTTTTTCAATAATTCAAAGCAACACAAGAAGATTTCATTGATTCTTATCTCTTGATGTCCTCGCTGAAGATCAAGTCACAGGTATCATGGAGCTTTTAACATTCTTTACGTCTGCTCTGACTTTTTCATACAATGAAAGTCAGAGCAGCGTTTGTTGTCAACTACACAATACAACTGTCAATGCCTGTTTGGTCAAAGTGATCTCAACCCATCTTGCAAAGCTCATGGCAATGGGCTTTAGCTCAAAGGAAGCTAGATGTAATTTGTTGGAGCAGTGATAATCTTCAATATGAATTTTTTATGTTTTTAAGATCATTACCATCAAACTTATCTATCATCTTCTCCATATCCTCGCATGTACTGATCTCGTTTACTTGTAGAAATCCAGAAGACAAATTGTGACGGTAAATACGATAAAAAAGTATGTGAATGAGCGCAACAATCAGTAAATAAAAAACTGTTAGAAAAAAACCACCAATAACTATATATATCTAATTAATAATAATAAATGTAGGCATTGTTATACTCATTCATGCATGCAACTGTATAAACCTTGCCAAAAGAGCATATTTTTTTTTTTTAAATATAATCATGTTGTGCAAGGTTCAAGGAATATTAATCTACTAATAAAGATGCTGAAGTGAGAGGGATTAAAAGGAAAAAAGAAATTAGGGTTGAAAATTTTGGCTTCAATCAATTTTCAATCAAAATCATATTGCGGAAAAATGATCACAAGAATTTGAGAAATACATAACATATCTAACAGAAATACATAACAAAGTAATCTAGAAAAAAACATCAAGATTTAATATGGAAAAACCCGAAAATGGGAAAAAATCACAGAGTTATATCACGACAAAAAAATTCACTCTGAAAGTAGAAATGCATATAAATTTTCACTACTCAAAATTTCTCTCTGTACCATTGGAATTTACAACAACTCCGATCCAAATTCCTTTGTGATTGCACAACATAAATAATTCTCACTGAAACCCACCTCTCAAACTTCACTGCTCTACACAAAAGTTGTTCAAGAGTTCACTGCATGTTAAAGATATTCAATAGAAATAATTCTTCCTCGTTTGCTCTAAATCAAGAGTTTAAAAACTAAATTGGAAGATTGTTTGCATCACTTTTTGATGCCGTTTGATGTCCACTCGAGCGTTAAGGGAATGTGTTCTGTCTCTGGTAGTCCAAGACATCCATTTAGACCTCCTGGTATGTGTTTTGAGCTCGGAATCAGGATTTATATCGATTTAGCCATACCCGGGAAAGCTCGTTGTCGGATAGTGATGATTCCGATACAAGATTTACTCAAATGCTCATTTTAATGTTTGAAGGCCATATTCCGTCTATTCAGAGCCTCCCATAGTCCGAGCAAGCCATAAAACCTCCTCGTCCGACACCTAAGGAGGTAGGGAATGCTAGGGCTCGATGTGACCACACCTAAAATGGGAGCGACTACGACCTAAGGCAGACGGGCAGCAACAACTAATAGGGTCGTGTGAGCACGCCTAAGCCTTGTAAAGGTTCGCGACAATTTCTAATGGACATTACCACGCCTAGGGATGGCGTGAGCACACCGCCGGACAGAGAGCTCAGACATAATTAAGCGGCTTTCGAGCATGAATACGCCAAAAACCCATGTGCGACGCTTTTGAAGTGGCGTGGCCATACTGAATTATGGGCGTGACCACACCAGTTCACCTGGTTCGACACGATTGGCCCACAAAAATCCACCATTGACATTTCATAGCCACCATATAATGAAATTGTAACCCATTTCTTTTGTCATTTATGGAAGGCGGCCAAAGGATAAAATTCTTCTTCCCATTTATGGATGCTTGTCCTTTGGAAGAGCGACTAGGCCGACATTATTCTCTTGAACAAAGTAGAGGAGTATGACTATGCAGGCAGACGTCGTGGAGGGAAAAATTGGAACTCATTTTCGTGGGGTGGAGCCTATGAAGAGCTTGGGAGAGTTGTGAGAGCTTTTGAAGGGATTTCAAATCCTTCTTCCTCTTTTTCATCCTCCTCATTTTCAGTCTCTTTTTCTTCTTCTCCCTCGTTGGTTCCCTTCACCGGCCGTGGTTTTGCCTGAGAAAATTGGAGGAATGAGGGAGAAATCGCTTAGAGCTTTGTGGGACTCTCCTTGAGAAGCGGAGCTTTTACCATTTTAGTAGGAGTGGAGCAATCATCACTAGAGTGAGGTCGGAGCTTGGAACAAGCCGAGAGCATGCTACTCCAACCGTCACGAAGGTATAACGTCCTCTAATCCTTGCAATTTCCTTCTTAGCAAGCCCCTTAGGTTTGGTTAATAGAGAAATAAAGGCTAGGATTTTGTGTTAGAAGAAGCCGCTAGGTTAGGGAGTTTTTTGTTTATTTTACCCCTGCAAATCCGAGAGATTTTCCCCTTAATCCTTAGCGCATTAACCTAGAGGTTAGAAGAAGCCGTTAGGTTAGGGAGATTTTCCCCTTAATCTGAGAGATTTTGTCGGACGATTAGTGGTAAGCCCTCCGTTATGATGTGTAACGAGTTGTAGTTACGACTTCATTCCACCCTAGGAATTACATGAGTTCACCAGGACCATTTCGACTTGCCATCAAAATGTGATTGGGTATTTTTGCATTGCTTGTGATCATCTCTTTAAAATTTGTATTTATTTTAAATATTAAGATATGACATAAGTAGGCCACCACCTATTTTAAATACAATGATTCACCCTCTGCCCTTATAGTTCATTTAGGCCATAGAAGCAAAGTGTAGATTCTATGGGTTGAATTGGTTATTTCGTAGGCTCTGAATGCTGATAAACCTCTACCCATTTGGGATGTGAAAGACTCACTCTCTGCTCTGTGGCTTAGCAAGAGCTTTGAAAGCATCATGATGTTCTTGCAAAATAATCATCATTTTTGGTGACTTATCACTATAATTATAATTTTTAAACACTTCTTTGTTTGGGCATACATGAAAAAGATGTAGCTGAATCTACTATTCAAGATTCATTGACTAAGGTTAAAACCAAGGAGTCGCCTTGGATTTTGCTTATGGAGACATTTGTAGAGAGATTCCTGTTTTAGTCTCTACCACTAGCCACCTTTAAAGCCTTACAATCTTTCTTGAAATTTCATTTATTCTCGTAGTTCCAACATTCACTTCTTTCATTTTCTTTTCCTAACCTGAAATTTTCACTTTTTGACTTGAATTTGTCCTTGCCGGTAATCACATCCAGATTCCTTTCTTTGTTTTCAATATTCAAAGCAGAAACTGAAGATTCATCATTGGTTGACTATCTATGAAGTTCTTCATTTAAAACTAACCCTACAGTATCATTGAAGTTCAACTTCATATTACATGAAGTGTTACTCATCGTTGTGACCAATCCATCCCAATTATTTAATAATGAAAACATAGCTAATAGTATCATGACCTCATTATCAAATTTGATACCCACATAACACAACTATTTAGTCACAGTATTGAAACTATTCATTTTTTCATGTAACTGTCTTCCACCATTTTCATGTTGAATAATCTCTTCACCAAATGAACGTTATTTGAAATAGAGGATTTTTCATACATCATTGCCAATGCTGCCATGAGATTCATCGTACTGTTCTAATTCACTATGTTGAATACTTTGGACGAGGAAAGTGAAAGGTAGATCAAACTTAGTGTCGTTCAATCCAGCACTTCCCATCTCTTATAGTCATCGTGTCAGACTTTGTTGATTTATTCTAGTGGCAAATTTAATTACTTTTGATATAACAAATCTTCCACTTTTATTTTCTACAATGTAAAGTTTAATCCATTAAAGATCTTCACTTTATACCTCGCTTTGTCAGCATTGCTCCCACTTGAGTCCAAGAACTTCAAAAAAGAAACCCTGCTCTTATACCACTTATTGGGATGAAAACATGGGTTTTGATCGATTTACAATCAAAATCACATTGCAGATAAATGATCACACCTATTCGAGAAGACGAATAAAATATTAAACAGAAACCCACAGTAAATCAATCCTAGAAAAACACACCAAGATTTGAAGTGGAAAATCAAGAAAACATGAAAAAAATATGGAGCAACAACACATCAAGAAATTTCAATAAAAGGAGAAATGTACATAAATTTTCACCACTCAAATCTTCTCTTCACACCGGTGGAACCTAACAACAATTTTGCTCCAAATACTCTTCTATCTCATAAGAGAACTCACTCGCACGAAAAGCCACTTCTCAAACTTCACAACTCAACACAAAAACTCTTCCAAGTTCACCGTGATCTAGAGAGTTTCGCTAGAAAGAATCCTTCCCTCTTCGCTCCTAATCGAGGGTTTAAAAACTAAATCGGGCGACAAACCACATCGGACATACTCAAACCACTCCTTGATATAAATACGCCTATCACCCCGCTGCGTAACAATACCGTTACGGCGTTACTTGAGAAACCACGCCTTCCAAAGTAGCTACCACGCCTAACCCTGGGGTGGGCGGCGCCGTTTCTTCTGTGTGTTGGGGGCAGCTCCTTAAGTTAGGTAGATTTTCTCAAGGGAAGATTTAGATATATACCACTCAATTCTTAGTATTTATATATCTCACACTGGACTTCAATTTTTTATTTATAAGGCATTTAATCTAAGCATAAAATTGTCTATTTCATTATATAAAAATTAAAGTAGCTTTATTTTTTATGTGATATGAATGATTTGTGTGGTATAAATATAAAAAGTAAAGTTTAGTCACTAACTATTTATGTAATTAGAAATAAAGTGAACAATCTCAATTTATATGAATTGAGCACTCATCCTACCCAAATTTTTTGTTTTGTATTTTAATTGTAATTTAAATATACTATAACTTATCATATTTTTTTATATTTATGAAAAAAATAATTTATTAATATTTAAAATTTATTTCAAGTAGTTTATTTTCACCAATTACTTCATACAAAACAAGTTAATAAAGAAATGAATTTCTGTATCTTTGAAATTTATTTATTTTAATTAATCCTTTATTATAATGACTTAAAAGAAAATGGAGTTTTTATTTAATGCAAATATGCTAATTAGTATTCTAGCAATTAAATACTAAAGAATTATTTAAGCTGTTAATAATGAGTTGGTAATAATGAAAGTACAATATAATCATACATACTCTAATCAGACTCTAAGTAATTTATTTATTTTATAATATTAATTTTTTAACAACTAACTTTATTACTTATTTATAATTAATTATTAAAAGAGTAATTACAATATTTTGTTAATTTAATTGCAACCATCAGTATCTAGTTAATCAAATTATTATCAAGTTTTCTTGATTAATTCTTTATTTAGTAAATCTATTACTAATTAGGTCAATTCATTATTGTAATTGATAACTGATTGATAAATTTAATTTATCCTGATTTTTTTATGTAAGTGCATAAATAAAAAAAATTATTTTTTATAAAAAGAATTGATGTGAAAAAATATTTATTCATAAAAATATAAATTCTTATAAATATGAGAAATGATATGATAATGAGACTTTTAATAATTCATAATTATAAAAACTCTAAGATATATCATAATTAAAATAAAATAAAATAAAGTTTTAAAAATTAAGATTTAGAACTCATGACCTTCCTAACAAAAAAAAACCTCTC